GGGGGGAAACACAGGGGGCAGGGGAGAGGGCCATGGCCGCGCCCTCTGGTTGGTATGGAGCGTGGTTTTTCCGACACTGGATTCACACACACACACACTCAGGGACACACACACACACAGGGACACACACACTCAGGGACACACACACTCAGGGACACACACACTCAGGGACACACACACACTCAGGGACGCACACTCAGGGACACACACACTCAGGGACACACACACACACAGGGACACACACACTCAGGGACACACACACACTCAGGGACACACACACTCAGGGACACACACACACACAGGGACACACACACTCAGGGACACACACACACTCAGGGACACACTCACTCAGGGACACACTCACTCAGGGACACATTCACTCAGGGACACACACACACACACAAGCCCTCCCAGAGCTTCATCCACAGGCTGGTGTGCCCCTCCAATTCCCTGAGCCCCCAATCTGTCCCACCTGCCCATGGAGTGGGGGCCCCATACCAGCTTCGGTGGGGCCATGGGTGGACAGCCCCTGCCTCCCCCAGACTCCAGGTCCGTCTGAGGCGTGGCCTCTCCGCGTCCCCCAGCCCTGGGCCCCACCAGGTGCAGGCCTCCTGCCCGTGCCAGGGCACCGGCCCAGGATGCAGTGGGGAGCGGTGCTGACCCGGTCCACCGGACTCAGAACCAGGGGCCAGTGCAGGGCCTTGTCAGGCCCTCCACCCCTGACCCCACTCTTTTGTGGGTGCTAGTGGCACATGTTGCAGGAACAAATGGAAGAACTGAACCCCCTCACATACCCCAAGGTGCGGCCCCAACTTGCCCGCCCAGTGCTCCCAGCAGCAGCCAGCAGGCCCCAGGGCCTTGTCTGCAGCATGAAGGACAGAGCGGCCAGGCCAGGACACAGAGCACCCCAGGCTGCTCCTGTGCCCAGAACACCCCCGCGCTGTGCCAGCACCGCAGGAGGGCACCGAGGGCCTGAGCTCTGGGGAGGCCAACGGAGGGTCCTGGGTACAGAGCCAAGGCCGCCCCACCTGCTCCCTCCCTCTGCACCCTCCCCACCCTCACAGGCCCCAGAGGCTGGGTGGGTGCAGGCGGGAGCCAGGCAGGACCTGCCTCCTGGAGGCCGCAGGGCCGGGCCAGTGACCTCTGAGGAATCCACACAGCAGCCGCCCACCCCACGGGGCAAGTTCTGCTCCTCAGGGCTGGGCGGCACGCTCTGGCCTCACCCCCGAAGCCCCGCCCAGCGCCCCGCCCTGGCCTCCAGGTCGGCTGCTCGGGCTGCTGGTCCGAATGAGCCCGGGGTGTGGACAGGTGCAAGAATGTCCCCGCTCTTGCACACACACAGGTGCCCTGAGCCGTCAACACGTGCCAGGACGACCACAGAGCCGGGAGACCAGGGCAGCTCCTGGGCTCCAGCCAGGGGTCGCGGCCCACAGTTTGGGAACCGCTGGTCTACAGGGTCAGCCAGTGATGGGTGCGTGGACTTGCGGGGCCGTGTGTGTGTGTGTGTGTGTGTGTGTGTGTGTGTGCCCCACCCACGCCCCAGCTCAGGGCAGGGGGGCAGCCCATCAGCATCTGTCCTCCCCTCCCCCTCCTCCCACTGCAACTCCAACCTCACCCTGTGTGGAAGCCCCCCCTTGAAAACCTGGGTGATGAGTCCTGCTGTTATTGCCGTTGCCATGGTCACAGGGCGGGAAACACAGGGGGCAGGGGAGAGGGCCATGGCCGCGCCCTCTGGTTGGTATGGAGCGTGGTTTTTCCGACACTGGATTCACACACACACACACTCAGGGACACACACACACACAGGGACACACACACAGGGACACACACACACTCAGGGACACACACACTCAGGGACACACACACACACAGGGACACACACACTCAGGGACACACACACACTCAGGGACACACTCACTCAGGGACACACTCACTCAGGGACACATTCACTCAGGGACACACACACACACACAAGCCCTCCCAGAGCTTCATCCACAGGCTGGTGTGCCCCTCCAATTCCCTGAGCCCCCAATCTGTCCCACCTGCCCATGGAGTGGGGGCCCCATACCAGCTTCGGTGGGGCCATGGGTGGACAGCCCCTGCCTCCCCCAGACTCCAGGTCCGTCTGAGGCGTGGCCTCTCCGCGTCCCCCAGCCCTGGGCCCCACCAGGTGCAGGCCTCCTGCCTGTGCCAGGGCACCGGCCCAGGATGCAGTGGGGAGCGGTGCTGACCCGGTCCACCGGACTCAGAACCAGGGGCCAGTGCAGGGCCTTGTCAGGCCCTCCACCCCTGACCCCACTCTTTTGTGGGTGCTAGTGGCACATGTTGCAGGAACAAATGGAAGAACTGAACCCCCTCACATACCCCAAGGTGCGGCCCCAACTTGCCCGCCCAGTGCTCCCAGCAGCAGCCAGCAGGCCCCAGGGCCTTCACTGCAGCATGAAGGAC